TGCCATTCTCAAATTTTTTTGAGGGGCTTTTTGTGCCTTTATTTAAAGATAGGACAGTGAATAGTAGGAAATGGGGGAGAGAGAGAGACTTGGGAATTACATACAGGGAAGAAGCCATGGGTCGTATTTGAACCCAGATTTGCTAAATGTTAACCACTAGGCTACAGGGGAGCCAATCAAATCAGAGTGTGCTATTCAAATGGAGCTTCATCTTTTGTTGCTGAGATGATCACTCATTAGCTCATGTTTAACTTGAACCATGTGAATCTAAACAATAAGCTGACCGTCTCGTGTATGTCCATTTAACTCACAGGGACCGTACCACCACTGTGGTGAACGTGGAGGGCGACGCTCTGGGAGCAGGAATCCTCCATCACATCAACCAGCAGGAAATGAAGAAGCAGCAGGCGCAGCAGCAGCAGCAAGAGGAGGAGCTGGCGGAGGTCCGAGTGGAGGCGGTGGCCAACGTCCAGGCCGAGGAGGAGACCTCGCCGCTCGTCACACACCAAACCAAAGCCTTAAGAGCCACTCCAGAAGCTATCGAGTCAGTCCTCTGAAGCCGGAGAGACTTTTTCTCCTGAGCCCTGACTTTAAGACCTCTCGACACTTCTGACGTTGCTGCTGATTCACCGTTTTGACTCAGAGTCCATTTAGAAAACAATGTCATTGATGGTTTCACTCGTGAAGAAAAACAAAGTGCCAATGTAATAGTCTGCTTAGTCTGGTGCTGCTTGTGCTTTTATCATTTGGGATAAAATTACACTACTTTCCGATAAAGCATTTTAAAGCAGATTAGGAACATTTGGATTTGAGAAAAACTTAATTTGATAGTTCTTCCTCAACATAACAAAAAGTCTTCTTTAGACATTTTTTCTAAAAGCATTTTGTGCTAAGAAGTGATTGAAGACACTTTGATTTAAAATGCTCTAAAACGTGTTGTAGCTCAGTTTTGTCTCATATTCGGTACAAGACGCTCACAGCCATAACTTTCTACACAAGGACATCATTGCATGTCATGTCAAGTGCATTTTATTCTTTATTCAGACGGCAAACACAATGACCAACATTAACATAACACTAACAACTTGTGACATCCTTAAAACTCTACACTTCTAACATTTGCCAGAGATTTTCTGTCATTAATCACACATTAGTGACGCCTGTTTGATCAGCGGTTTTTCATTTTATTTGTAGTTTTGGTCTCTTGGCTGGATGGGAACTGTTATTTCTTTATTTTGACGTCAAACCAGGTTTAAAGGGAACAGTTTGGTCCCAGGTTAGCAGACTATGTCAAACACTAACCACTTCAGATGACACGCTAAGATTTTGGCCTTCTTTTTTACACTGTCTGTTTAACCAGTAACAACCAGTAAGGTGAAGCATTGTGAACATTGGCCCATTTCAAACACTGTTCATATTCGGGCACTTGTGCTGTGGTCTATAGGGTGGGAAATTATCCTGTTTCCCCCTAACATGGCTGTGAGGTTTCTAAGAAGACCATTGTTCTTTAAATCATGAAAAATACCTTTTCAAATTGAAGTTGGAGTATTTGGAATAATAACGCCCTAACAACAAAGCTAGTTAATTCAGAAGGAGACTCACAAAGAAGCAGTTTGTTTTGGACTTTGTTAGCTTATTTAGCTAGCTATGGTAATGTGAACATGCAGCTATCAGGAAGTGTTTGCTAACTAATGCTTCTTATCTGATGCTGACTAAGCTTAAACCTTTATGTTGTTTAGACTGAGACAAGCTTATAGCTAATCTGATACTCATGTTAGCTAGAAATTCTAGTGTGTAAGCTAAACAGATAAATGCAGAACACATGCCCAAGTCTTCTAACCTGACATCCAGAGGGTACATTATTTAAAGGCATCTTGAGGAGCTTGTTAGGGACATGACTCACATTTCCACTGAAAGAACCAGGTCAATAACAAAGTTCCCACAACTTTATTTTACCCCTCCCCCCCAAATGCCTGCCCTAACACTTTCTCAAAGTAGACTACATGAATTTGGGTGGGGAATGCAGCGCTACACATTTCTCATTCGGCCACAAACATTAATTTAAATTTAATTTATTGTTCATGTCCTCCCTACATCAATGAACCAACAGAAGGAAGCATATGACAAAATACTAAGTGCTAAGCTATACTCAGAAGGAATTGGAAACGGCCATTTGCAATGATTTGGTGTTACTTCATATGTTGTACCTTGTAAAACCAGCTGTTAGGTTTTCATACAACAGTGAGTAATTTGTCTAATCTCTGCAGATCTTTAAAAACTATTACTGTAAAAAGAAGAGAGTAATGTACAGAAGGAATCTTTTAGAATAATTGTGATAAAGTAAGTTTGAAGCGAGAGTAATGTTATGTAACACATAGTCACAGTTGATTGAAAGTTAGTTTGCAAGTACTGTAAACACACTCCAATCTCACAATTATTTAAGAACAGATATGGTTGTCAGAAAGGTCAACAGCTACTGTAGTTTAGGAAAATCCACCCCAAAAATGAAATCTTCAATTAATGTTTACAACAAACAGTGGACCAAAATGCATGACGAGTTCACCTCCTATTGTATGCCATTATTTTGTCAATCCATCATTTGATTTTAGAGTGTATTATTAAAGGTTGTGACATGAGGTAACCCTCTCTTGACTGACAGGGTGAGCCTGTGCTGCCCTCTAGTGGTGGCAGAAATTCATGTTAAAGCATTGAGCTAAAGGGATGGCATCTCAGAGCTGGTTTGAACCATATATTGTGAATGTCTCCTGAGTCTTTGTCTGACTTTGGTGAATGAAAGCTGTGTTCATATTTATTTGATATTTAATATTCATAGGGAACACCTGGAGATGTGAGTTTTGAGAGTGAGGAACTTCATGTACGTGAACATTAATCAAATGCATGTCGCTGTCATGTGATGTCCGAGATGCTCATAATGATGTAATGGTGCTGCTTTAGTTTAAGATCATTGTGTGTCTGTTGTTGAACGTGTCTCGCTTTAAAAAAGTGTGTTTTCTGACTTTTAGATTTAACAGATGACTTTTCTAAGCTAACTGCTCTGTTAACCTTGAGCTAATTTTCTTTGGACTATTTTTGTTGAGTATATCCTGATACGATCACATTTGATGACACATAATGTTTTACATGTTCTATATAATATATATTTGATAGTAATTTATTTGTAATTGTTTTAACTTTTTGTATAATTTTTACTTTCCCCTTTTAACACTTTCTCTCAGTATCACATTTTTTATTGTTACGATACACTTTTTAATGAATTCTTCGAGCCGTGTTTCTGATAACCTGTTGTTAGAAAAATCTTGTTGTTCTTTTTTTTTTCTTTGAGAATAGCTGCTTCTCTGCCTGTGCCATGTCAATGATTAACACTGTGCAGCTGTCTCTTTGCTTTTGGTCCTGCTGTCTGTCAACATTAAAGGTGATAAAAATAGATTTTTCACGCAACCCAAAAGAAAAGACTTCTTTTTATTTTGGTTTGTATTAAGATTAAGAATTCATCAAAAGTTATATAAGAGGTACAAATAATCTCTTTAGCCTGTAATAAATGTAATGACCAGCAGGGGGAGAACTTGCTGACAATCTGGACCTTCTTTTCTCTTTTAAAGTTTTTGTTTTTTGGCTTATAATGCCTTTAGTTAGAGACAGGAAAGTGGATAGAGTCCGAAATTAGGGAGAGCGAGTGATGGCTTTAAACGGCAAAGACCTGAAAACGTTTGTAATGTCACAAGCGTTTGAGTCTAATTTGACAATCAGTGTGCCCCACACGGTCACTCGATGTCAACACAAGCTCCTTTTTAGAACTCTTGAAACCAAACAGAAAAGGTTTGTGGGTAAATCTCTACCTAGTTTATGATACTAACGAGTAGTGCAGAGTGAGAGACCCAAACCCAGCCTGCTGGTGATTTACTGAAGGGGGCCAGAAGATTCAAACCCAACAGCGGGAGTGAAGAAAATGAATCCAACTCACTAAAAGATACATTTACAACAACACGGTGGATTCGTTTTTCTTCTTGACAGATCTGCAAACCAACTGCATGCATTCTGCCATGTAACGTATCTGGTCGTGTTTAGTATACCCAAGTGTGCTCAGGCATGGAAAGATGTTATAGTTTGCTGAAATTCAAATCTCTCCTCAGACATTATGACTAGATTACAGCACTAGTAGTGCACTGTACATGGAATAAAAAACGGAAATGATTTTACCGGAACTACGTCAGCAAACCTATGGGCATCTAGCCCATACCTTTTTTTCTAGGAATATTTAACATTATTATTGTGTTTTTCAAGTCTAATGAGAACCACTGCCTGCTGATGCTCTACTCAGGGCTGACAGGATTTTAAATCATTGATGATTGAAAATACATTTGGTTCGTTAGAGATATATATTTTCATATATTGGGTAGGCCTATACCTTGGACCTAGGGCCCTAATTATCTTCATAAATCTTTTGGTATTCTTTGGGCTGGAGCCACATCTGGAAGCAGGACTTTAGGGGGAACCGTATCTATGATTGACATGTCACTCTAAGTAACCAACATGAGGTAGTGGTGGATTTCCAGATGAGGAGCTCCAAAAGAGGAGGACTAGCCTATCCCTGTTCAAACTACACTTTCATTCATCTTAATAAAATCCCAGCCTCAAGTTCAAGTTGTGGTCTTTGTGTATCCTCAAACTCATCACTCGGAAAGGAAAAACTAACCATGGAGTCAGTGCACTCTGATGGCCAATCAACATTATGACACCATTAATAACCTGAACATTACATTCTGCGTGATTTATTTTGTTAATGGAGTTTTAATATTGGTCCAAATCAAAACCAATACGTTATTCGGATTCACAACTGCTATTTCTGCGTATTGTTGTTAGCTTGCCACACATGTTTTAGCTAATTGTCTTCCTGTATGCTGTTTTATGCCCCAACACTCCTCACAAGTAAAGCTTTATTCTGAGTCATGTACGGCATTGTCATTTCCGACGGTCTTGAAGGCAGCAGGGATGATGATGATATTACCTTGTTAGCAGGTTGCAAGCTAACTGAACACAGTGCAGCTTCACGGGAATGTCCCACCCTTTGTAACACAAGCTGAGCCCTCCGTTGTCTTTATCGGCTTCATACGAACAGCACTTTAAACTACAAACAGTGGGCAAGATGACGACGCGGTCAGAGAGAGAAAAAGCCCAGAAACTGAATGAGCAGCATCAGGCCATTCTGTCTAAACTGCTGAGAGAGGACGACAACAAGTACTGTGCTGACTGTGAGGCAAAAGGTAAGCCCGACAGTCGTTTGTGTAAACCCGCATGTCGGTTCTGTGTTTACCGGCAGATTACAGGATGATGAGGAACTTGGCTGCTAACGCTTTGCTAAAGCTAACCTCATAATGTAATGTTATTTTGAAGGGAGTTTTAGGCGTTGCTATGCTCACATTCCTCGTTGCCTGGTAACCGCAGTGTGTCATCCGTTTTAATTTAATTAATTTTTAATTTTAGTTCATTTTTTTATGTTTCAATGTTAACCAGAAAATCCTTGTCCAGTTATAAATAATCCTAAATATATAATATTGAGCGACATTTGTCAAACACACAGCAACACATATGTAACATCCGCTATTAGCCTTCAAAATAAAATCCCTCTCGTTATCGATGTTAACAACTACTAGTAGAATCATGATTTGATTTATTTCCAAACTATTTTTCACCATTAATATTAAATATTACAAATACAATGATTGTTATAGGACTTTAAAATTGTTAAGCACCTCCAAAGGGCCCCAGGGAAGCTTAACATGTGGAAATCCATATCTCTAAAAGCAATTTTGAAAAGTAAATATGTATAATAGAAGGCTAAATTAATAAACCAGAATAAACTAGAAATAGTAAAGTTTACTGTAGTTGTTATAATAAGGAACCATGGGCCTTCATCAATAACTGGTGCTTTGCCTTGGTCTTATGCTGCAGATAATAAACAGAGAAATGTATGAATGTAAGAATGGAAACATAATGAAATATTAAATAACTACTCACGCTTCAACAAAAATAGATATTATTTAATATGATAAGAATGTGATGATTGGAATATTATTTGATTTGAAAGTAAGAAAAGTTGCAAATATGACACATTCACTAAAAATGTGTATAAACTTAAGATGGGCACAATGATAAATAGACAAAAGAGAGAAATAAATTTGAGGCAGAAGCTACAACAAAAAAATTACCATATATGGTATAAAAATAATTTGATTGTAAGAATTTTAGACTTCGTGACCTCAGTTGACTCTCAATAACTGCATCATATTGATTCTCTATATTGTTTTTTGTTTGTTCATGTAAGATGTTTTCATAGCATAGGTTTTTTTTAATTTCCTTTTTATCACTCTTAAAGGTTTTAATATTTCTCACTTTGCATTGCATGAAATATTATGCTTTCAAAATGTTAAACTGAATGAAGGTTGTGCGCTCTTATCTTGAAATGCAATATCCTGTATTTCCGTGTTTTGTGTCACGGCTGCTGCGGACTTGACGCAGCTCTTTGCCCGACAGTATCGATGTCATGTCCTTGACTGTTTTATTATTAATGAGCGGAAAACGCGTGTGTCCTGGGAAGGCAACATTAAAGTAGAGGTGTAGTGTGCTCGCTGATTGTCCCGCATAAGAAACATGTCACCATCACTGACTGTAGGTTGGATGCAGCTGCAGCCAACACCTAAAAGCTCTGCCTCGCGATCCCCTCGGGCAGAGCAGAACCATCACCAAACTCCATTCACAAATCTAAAGTTTAATTCTGTCTTGAACAGACTCTGAAAGACAGTTTGATTGAAGGTGTCCCATTAAGAATTAGAAAAATGTATTTAATTCGGCATACATCGAATACGCCAAAAATCAACGCGTCCCATTAAAGTGCAATCTTTTACTATTTACACGCCTTAAAAATTCCCATTGACCAGCGGCATTAAACTAAAACGACAAATGAACGTTATTATGTTTTGCACGATAGATCTAGTAGTTTGTCTGGGATCTTTTCTGTTGACTTAACCTTGGTGTGTGTTTGTATGGAAACATGAAATTCCCAGATTTTTGAGTGGAGTTTGAACGGCTCGTGTCGGGGCTACCTATGACTGAGATGAAATGCCTTTTGCGTCATCATCGTGTCTATGCTGCCATCTGACAAGCGTAATCTGTAGTGCCAGACCTCCCTCTGCAAACACAGCAGGTTTGATCATGATTTCCCTCTGCCTGCTTCTGATGCTGCATCTCTTTTTAGATGTACTACAAGGTTTGAGAAAAAAAAAATCCTTCTCCTTGATGTTGATCTGAACAGCTTTTCATGTTTCTTGTGTTATAGCTGCAGGTAAAGAGAAGAAACATATTTAAACATTAAAATCAACAGTTTTGCAATATATAGAGCACAAAAGTCATTTAGCATTACATAAAAAAAAATGTTTTTAAATTAATTGATATGATAAACGCGTTTAATTGAAAAGTCTTTCCACGATGACGAGCTGTAACATTCAATACTATACACATTGGAGCAAAGGAAGATACATTTTACATTTCACCAATAGAGTTTATGTTCTTTACCATGATGGTTTTGAGGGTTGTTATTTTCTTCCTCTGATAATTTTTTATTTTATTATTATGCCAATAATTTATATTTATCAATCATCAAATAACTCAGTCAAGTAAATGTTGTATTTCTTAATATTCAGTCTTATTTTAGCATCTGTTTTCCTGTATTGTCAGATGTTTGGTCTCCATGGCTCACCAAATACATTATGAATTTCATACTGGGGAGAGTGATTGATATTTGATGTTAAAAGCTTTTCTTAATAAACCTTTAGTGGTACCTGTTATGAAGCCCTAATGTATCCATAGATTTGATTCACTCAGTTTTCAGTTTTGACACATCATTTGCAGGAGAGATCTTGACTTGTTTATCTTTTATCTCCAGTGTTGCAAAAGAACAAAACAAAGATCGAAATAGGCTTCACTTCCTCATCAGTGCAGGCAGTGTCATGTTGTGATCCGGCCTATCACACAAAATGATCCTGCTTTTAGAAGATCAAGCTTGGCTGTTCTTACATGCATAAAATTGCAGCTTCTAGACGTTTGCAGACATGTGAGAGACAGCAGGAGATATGTCTAACTTTTTAAAACTTGTATTTTCAAAAAGCCTGACATGGATTCAGAGTCTTTTGAACAGATAAGTGTGTGTCTATTAACCATTCTCTTTAAGGTTTGTGGAAGCTTGAAGTCCTGGCAAACAACCTGAGTTGTTTCTTCTTTATTGATTTGGAAATAATCGCAGCTGAATTTTTTATGCCGATATTTCATCCTCACTTTTAGCTCAGCTGATGTATGTTTTTTCATCAGTGCACCTGATGAAAAAACATTTTAGATTCAAATATTCACCAACGACTGATCTGTTAGTTAACTGATAATATGATATTTAATTCTAAAGGTTTTTAATTCCATTTACTTAAAGCAAAATCATCTTTGTGCTCATTTGGTGACCTAATACTTTATCATTGATGTATTTCCATTAACAAAGTGGTTATTAGCTTTTAACTGTCCAATATGTTTGAGTTGGTTAGCCCTTCATCTTTACAAGGGGGGGAAGACATGTTGGTTGTCTTCGTACAGGGTACAACAAGATTTAGATTGCAGCTGGTCTTACAGTATGTCTACTTCAACAGCAACAGAAGAGGTAGATTTGGGTCTGTCCAGACTAAACCTTATGGGGGTCATTTGGAGTGCTGGTTGAAGGCTGCTATGGCTCCTGGGATGAAACTGTTTGTCTTTGTCTAACACAGCAGTATCCTCAGTTGGTTAGGTTTTTGCCCGTTGTTCAGGGATTTTAAGGGCATGCAGAAATTTATTCGGGTATTTATGCCCCCCCCCCCTTTAAATCAACTCACATGGGAGTGTCATGTGAAATGATTTTGCAGCAGCTGTACACCATTGTACCCATAAATCTTTCTGAAGTGTTACAGCTGACAGGAAAGTTCTCGTTGTTTTTACCCGTACAGTCTCATTTCAGCTAAGCTATGTCGAGTAAATCTGAAGTCTAAAAGCTCACGTTGTTTATGAGTGTAAAGACATCAGTTCTAAAGTCTCTGACTTAAGTTTGAAACCCTGTCTGCACTGATTCTTTGTAAGATTCTTTGTAAGACTCTGAATGATCAAAACATACATTTCTGTATTTTAACTGAAGTGTTAGTCTGATGATGTGTCTTCAATCAATCAATCAATCAATCAATCAATCAATCAAGCTTTATTCATATAGCACCTTTCAGACAAATTAAATTGCAGTTCAAAGTGCTTTACAAGAGTGCAGAAAAGTTATTGACAAAAAGTAGTTTATAAAATCATTGATAAAATCATTGAGACTAATGCACACCAATAAGAATTAAAAAAAGTATAAAAATAAAATAAAAGAAAATACGACACAAAAGCAACAAGATATTAAAATAAATACATAAGAGGAAAATATTTAAAATTGTAGTAGGATAAAAAAGACAATACAGTAATGTTAAGATTTGAATTGATATAAAACACTATATAAAAGCCAGACTGAATAAATGAGTTTTAAGACTGCGTTTAAAAATCTCAATAATCTGGGCTCCTCTCAGACCCTCAGGAAGCTTGTTCCACAGTCTCGGAGCGTAACAGCTGAAAGCAGCATCGCCAAAGGCCTTCCAGTCAGTGCTGTTGCTGCATGCATGCAGCCTGAGGCAGGTTTGCGTTAGTCATAAAGCAGCAGCATGCAGCCGTGTCCCCTGAGTCACGGAGGCTCTGTCTCAGCTATTTATATTCAAACATTATCAAGATGATGTGACAAGGCCTCATAAGTCCCAAGATGATACCAACCAGTGAACCACTGTAGAGACAGCTTCTTATGAGACTTCAATGGAAAGAAGGAGTTGTGTTTGTCACTGAGGTTTTACACATTTTACTCTCTGTATTTTATTCAATGTTTCCGAAGGACTCTTTCAGAAAAGAAAGGCCATATATATTAGTAGTAGAGAATGAAGGATGTGACATATTAATCCATGCAATCAATCCATCTTTATTTGCACAGCGCCAATTCATAACAAAGTACTGTCACAAAAATGAAGTTTGAACTTCATGTGACCGATCAGTGGAAATGCTGAATGGATTGAGCTTGTGTAGCACTTTTCTAGTCTTCAGACAACTCAGCTTTTTTACACTGCAGGCCACATTCACACACATTCACAAAGTGTTGACGAAGCAGCGGGAGGTTGAGGTTAAA